CACATACTATCGCCGCTATGTACAAGGTTACGCCACCATCGCAAAACCATTGACCAGACTTACCGAAGACGAAAGGCGTTTCTCTTGGGACTCAGATTCTGACGAGGCATTCCGAAGATTGAAGGCCCTGACTAGTGCGCCCATACTTAGCTATCCTCTTGGCAACGGAAACTTTATATTGGATACCGACGCTAGCAATGTTGGGTTAGGCGCTGTTCTGTCTCAGATCCAGGATGGTCAAGAAAAAGTCATTGGTTATTTTAGTAAGACCTTGTCAAAACCGGAAAGGAACTACTGTGTAACCAGACGAGAATTACTAGCAGTAGTTAAAGCAGTGGAACACTTCTACAAGTATCTATATGGAAGAAAGTTCTTGTTAAGAACAGACCATGCTGGTTTGAAATGGCTGTTGCAGTTTAGGAATCCTGAAAGGCAGGTAGCTAGATGGATTGAACGATTACAAGAATTTGACTTCGACACAGAACATCGAGCTGGGGCAATCCATCGGAATGCCGACGCACTTTCCAGAAGACCTTGCGCTAAGGACTGTAAGCATTGTTCCCGAGCAGATGAGAAAGAAGTGAAACTCCTAAGAACAACTCCTTAATGATAGTTGGAAGAACAACTCCTTAATGATAGTTGGCAACCCGAAGATCTTGCAAATGACCAAACCAGTGACCCAGAATTAGGTTTAGTAATTAACTGGAAAAACACAGGCCAAAGACCAACGTGGGAAGAAGTTTGCAGATATTCGCCGAACGTAAAGTCGTACTGGGCCCAGTGGAATTCCTTGGTAATAGATAACGGACTACTTCGCCGTGTGATCGAGCGACCGGAGGGACAAGAAGAGAGAAGGCAAATCGTCATTCCAAAGAAGAGGGTCCCAGAAGTCTTGGAGGAAGTTCACAATGGAACCAGCGGTGGACATCTTGGTGTTACCAAGACACTTGGCAAGCTGCGTGAACGGTTCTACTGGGTGAACTGCAAAGAAGATGTGAGGGCCTGGTATAAGAAATGTGACACTTGCGCAGCCCTCAATGGGCCATAAAAGCGTGGTAAAGCCCCTATGCGCCAGTACAATGTTGGCAGTCCCTTCGAACGAATACCGATCGACGTGGCTTGTCCTTTTCCGGAGACGAACGATGGCAACAAATACATTGTGGTACTAATAATGGACTAATAACTACTAATGGATTACTTCAGCAAATGAGTCGAGGCCTACGCGTTGCCAAATCAAGAAGCGTCCACCGTTGCTGATTCCCTTGTTAAAGAATGGATCTGCAGATTTGGTGTTCCCATGGAGCTTCATTCAGATCAGGGAAGAACTTTGAGTCCAATCTGTTCCAAGGCGTCTGTAAAGTCCTGAACATCCGCAAGACCAGGACGACTGCTCTACACCCACAATCCGATGGGATGGTTGAACGCATGAACAGAACTATCAACCGTTATCTGGCCAAAAGTAGTCTCTGACCACCAAAGAGACTGGGATAAATTTCTTCACCTGTTCCTGTTGGCCTACCATTCATCCATCCAAGAATCTACGGGGCAAACTCCAGCCAGCATCGTTATGGGACTGGAAGTGCGCCTACCTTGTGATCTGAAATTTGGTTGCCGACCGGGAGAAGAAGTCGCGGAAGAAGATTATGTCCACACACTACGTCAAAGAATGGACGACATCCATCAGCGAGTCCGCCTAAATATTCAAAGTGCTAGTGACCGAATGAAGGAACACTACGACATTCAAGCTGAGCATGGAGGATACCAACCAGGGAAGTTGGTGTGGCTATATAACCCGCAGAGACGTCGTGGGTTATCTCCGAAGCTACAATCCTCGTGGGAAGGGCCATACGAAGTCATGGATAGAATTAATGACGTCGTATACCGTATCAGAAAATTGCCAAAAGGAAAACCGAGGGTAGTCCATTTCAACCGTTTGAGCCCCTACCAAGGCGAAATAGAAGATCGTGCTGGGACCGTGAGAACCTGCAGCTTTGATCCCCCTGATTCGGAGATGTCCTTTGACGATTTCATGGCCCGATACAACAGCAGTGAGAAGGCTCGCTATGGTGTAACCAAAGAAGATCAACGAGACCTCTTTTCCGTGCCTCCTGATTATTCGCTCGCTCATTGTGTGGCTCGAGATTTGCGGATGTCCAGAGGAATCGCTGCGACGTTCAATGAGAAGTTTGGGCGTGTCGGAGAACTACGCCGACAGGATCCAGAGGTTGGAAGCGTCTTGAGGCTAACCGACAATGCACATGGTCAAGCAAGGCACATCTTCTACCTGGTCACCAAGGAATGGTCCCCGAGTAAGCCGACTTATCTCAATCTATGGAAGACCCTGATTGAACTGAGAGAAGCCCTGCTAAACAACAACATTGCACGATTAGCCATTCCGAAGCTGGCGTGTGGACTCGATGGTTTGAGTTGGCGTACAATCCGGAACATGATTGAAGTCTTGTTCAGATTTACGGGAATCGAGATCCTCGTTTGTGCTACAACCCAAAGCCGAGATCGGGAGAGAAAACTGTAGACTGCTATTTCTACCAGACTTCGCAATGTACCAGGGGCCAGCTTTGCAAATACCTTCATTCACCGTGTACATCTCGGGACGAGCATGTACCTAAGAAGGGGGCAGTGTTGCGGACCCGTGTGGACTCGACCTAACCTAACTATATGTCCCGCCCTCAGATGACCAGTGCAGTTGACGCGCTAAAATTCAAAATAAATTCTTAGTTATAAATCGTTTGTAAATAGTTCTATAAGTCTTTTATCGTTATTGTTTTTGTTAATTAGTGTTAAATAAATAGTGTTTAAATAAATTGTGACTTTCTATCCACACGGAACCGACGAAAAACGTAACAATATCAATAATCAAAAATATTGACAATAATATTGATCGTGTAAGGGCCGCTTAAGAACATCCTTACCGTAATTTCTTTGCGAACAAGGGTACTTCTAATTCCCAATTAATTTACCAAAATGTTGAGGGCTAAAACTGTTGATTTTCCCCGTTGATAAGCCTATTGTTGGATATACAGAGGATTAATCATTAGGATCTTTCTCCAAATATACAGTTTATATTTTTTGCAATCTCCCAATTTTCTTTTTTGCGAAGGTAGATCTGCATCACCTAGTATCAGGCAGCCTGGGAAGTGTTTTGAGGGGCCAAAATTTCTAATGATAAATAATGAATAATTAATATCGTATCATCGTATTTTCCGGTCTCCGTGAAATTGCCATCGGGACGCCGCGCCGTACCTTTCCTTTTTTTTCGTTCATTCGCCGGTTCTTTCGAGATAATCTTAATTAATAATAATTTTTATATACCAGGTACAGTCTGTCCAACTAGATTAATGAGAGTGACTCTTGTGTCATTTTAATTCATACGCAAATTATTTTTTCTGTAATATGGATGTCGTTTGTCGAAATATTCCCTGGTTTACTGGAATTACGATAGTGACAATTTCGATGCTTAAGCTGCGTTACAGTGTGAAATTTCTGTAAGAAGTTAAATATACCGGGTGCGTCCCAAAAGTGGCTCACCCCTATAACATTTTTATTTTTTCAGTTAAAAAACGGGATTTGGTATGTTAGTATGACATAAATTAGGATTGATTGACGCATTCAATTGTTTTCGGTCACTTTCTGTTTCACCGGAAATGACTACAACTTTTGATATTTAAATTTAACGCATGATACAGGTTGTTAATTTGTTCATTACTCGCGGCAGAAGCTTTATGGTTGAAATATGGCAACCTCGGCCCGACGGGACGAGTTGGCAGAAAAATCAATAATGCATGCGTTCTCAATAGGCAGTGTTGCCATTCTGTTCTCCTATAAGTAACTGTCGAGTTAACAACCTGTATACTTCCTACATGTGTACATATTTTTTTGTACCGTTTTTTTGCTCTCCTGTAAAATTACGAATAATGGAGTTAGCAGCTTATCACATTTCACAGACGATATGCAATCTTGCACGTTGGGAATTACATTTGTACATTCTCTTCAATTTTTTGGTTTAACGATCGATAGACGTTTAGATTGGCTTCACCATATTGAAGTACTGGCATTTAAAACTCCGTAGTTCTGCTATGCACTGAGAGTAATGTCGGGGTCCGATAAGATCGATGCTGCTATGTCAGCTTCCTATGCTTCTGTGTATTCCAGATTTAAGAATGGTATTATTTTTACGGGTTAAGCTTGATTTTCATGCAGTCGTTATCCAACGATACGATGATACGATATTAATTTTATTGGTTGAATTTAAAGACTTCGATTGGTTAGAAACGGTTTTTAAATTCAACCAATAAAATTAATATCGTATCATCGTATCGTCGGAAAACGGATGCATGAAAATCGAGCTTAACTCCACGGGGGTGGAAAGGATATTTCGAGTACAAAAAAAATGTTTACGTAGTATCTTTGGATTGAGTCAATAGGAAAGTTGTAAGGAGATTTTTGTTGAGTATAGCTCGCTTACAGTTGTTTCAATGTACATTTTGGACGCTGTGGTGTTTGTCCTGGAAAACTGGAATTTATTTGGATACCGCAGACTCGAACATGAATATGATACTAGACATAGATTGCAACTTGTTTCCGATAAATATATATAATTTTAACTATCTTCAAAAAAATATAGATTTTTCTCTAATAAAACTATTCAATTCGCTTTCAGAAAATATTACCTTGGCTATGCCTAAGAACAAAGTTAAAAAATGTTTAAAGATCTTTTTATGTAAGGAGCTGTTTTATTTCCTCACTGAATTTCTAAACAGTGATAAGAACGCCTTGTGTCACATTTAATATCATAATTACATATTATTGTAAAAACAACCAATGTAGGTATATTTTAATTTTATTTTGTATTATTTGAAATCTCTAGGATGTCGATCATACTGTGAAATTCCATAGCCACAATAATGTACCTTAAATTGTAGTCCCTTAACTTAAAAATCTAAATTAATAATATTAATATGTATAGCCAATAAAAATCTTACATATCTGCTGTTGATAAAGTCGTTTTTCCAATAGCTAATGCATGTTCTTTACCTTCTGCCATTATAGCCTAAAATTTAGATTAGGTACATAAGTATATAGACAATTATTCTGAAATAAATATTTTTAACACAATGAAATCATAACTTTCTATAATAAAGGCCCATATCCAAAATGATAAAAACATCAAATACCGTAAACCTTACTTCGGACAGCACGGGTAAATTCGGACAACGGGTCCTTGAAAGAGAAAAAAAATTGAGGGGGGTAGCGAAATCATCAAAGCGGCCGTGTGTGGACTGGAACGTGTTTAAAACAGTTGCTCTCAGACGTTTCTTAAGTACCGAGTGTTTTTTGGGCCCGGAGTTTTTTTTTACGTCAATTTTTGTAAGTATGCAATTTTTGTTGTTTTTTTAAAGTGGAAAAAGTAACTAGCGTACAACTAAACCATATTATTCATAAAGTCGTACTTTTTCCAGTATTCAGTAGGTATATTATCTGAAAATGTTTTATGTAATTTGAAGATTTTTAATCGATGGTCGTAAGCAAAAAAATCATATTTTGAAGGCTAACTTCGGACATGGTTTGAAGTTACAAAAAGCAACTGGGGAGTCGCCCTACCAAAATTATTCACCAGAGAGGTTACAGCAAGCAGTAGCAGATATCAGAGCCAAGCGAAAAACCTTAAGAGTGGCGGCTGAGTATTATAGGATTTCCAAATCCACAATTGGGGATAAAGTTAAGGGAATTCATGATAAGAATCTAGGACGGCAACCAGTGCTGAGTATCGAGGAAGAGGCAAAGTTTTTGACTGATATTTTTAGAAATAATCAATCTTTTTTAATAAAAATGTCTTAAATAATGTTTGAAGTTATTAATTTTTTGAGTTTTTATTAAAAAATGAACTTGATTTTTTTTTAAAACTTATATTTTTGTCCGAAGTTTCCTCTTAACTGGTATAACATCAAATTTACACATTTTTAAAGGCATGTCTGAAGTTACCCCACCTATGGAGATAACATCTGACACTTTTCAAACAAAACAATATATACGTTAGAAAAAGAAAGTTTAACATTTTTTTTAGTTAGACATAGGGGAAGGACGTAGTAACCTACACAAAAAATATTGGTTGAATTTGAACACACTTAGGTCAAGAAACTTACAAAAAACCTCAAAAACTGTCCAAGTAGTTTTACGGTATTTATTTTAGTTCAAAAATAAATATTATATTTAATATACTTACTACTACAGTATCTTTTTCAACTTCAGTCATTTGTGCACCTGGTGAAGTTAAACCTGGACACATAATATTAGCTCCACTTAGAACAAACCTTATAGCACCTTTATCTACTTGCTGCATTGGCAAGAAAAAAGGATCTAAAATAAAAAAACAATTATTTTAATTAATTAAACTACTCTGGATTCGAATTATTACATTATTCAACAAAATTAATTTATTGTAAAACTATGGTGTAAGACTTACATTTATGAAGAAGTCTTAATGTTGGCATCCATTGACCCTCCCTATGTCTAAAAAATTGCTGCTCTCCTGAAGAATTTATCAAAACTTCTATATGGTCATGACTAAAACGCATAAGAAATTAACTGACCTATTAAACTCAAGACAATTTACGAGGGGTAATTTATCAAGGGATAAATAGAACAAAAAATAAGAATACCTATATTTCAATTCATTGTTAAAATAACTAAGATATTGTTTAATAAATAATTATAATATGAAAGCGTACCATTTAACAATCTTAAAAGCGTCCTTTTTTGGTAAAATAGTATCTAGATAGTTCTCTAAATGAGGGTAAGACTCCAATATTTTGGAACGGATTGATTTCTGTACAGATGATTTTAGCTGTAAAATTCCTGAGATACTTTCTTTTTCATCAAATCTTAAAAATACATTGTTAATTGAGTTACACACACATAAATATAATAAAGTACTTTTTAAACATCTTATAAATTAAAAATAAACTTTTTTGAAAGCAGCTTGACGTCTAGGTTGGAAGCACCTTAGCCTAAAAAATCTTCTTTTCCAATTTATTGACCACAGTTGTCAGGACTAACCAGAGATATAGGGACTAACTTAAAAAATTATTTTTTTCTAAATATTTTGGCTTCGGCATTGTGGTGACCACTTTTTCAAATAAAGTCCCATAATTACCGAGATGTTTCTTCTAACCCCTATTTGTGCCTTTACCCCAAGCCTCTACCCTCCATAAGAAGGTCCTCAGTCTTGTGTATGTGTTTTGTGGTCCTCAGCTAGATCTCTGCGAGACCCCTACCTTTGCCTCTACATGAGATTTCATCATATATAATAAATATCTATATATCAATGTAAACATCATTTTCATTTCTTTTTTTAATATCCTATTATTATTTTTAATGCGAGATAAAATTGTTATACATTTACGTTTTTATTAAATTAAAGATAAAGTGATGATTATGAAGTTATTAAGGCACATATTCATAGACGTATTATAAAATATTCCTATAATACGTATATGATGGCGTTTAAGTTTTAAATATAGTTTATTTCGACCCAAGAACAGTTAACCTAAATAGGACTGCTCATTCAGCCAAAAGTGTCTGCCAGGTGCATGCGAAAACTACTCGCTTTATGACGTCATTGTAGCCCTTGTCATGGTTATTAGTCCTTATCCAGCAACCAATAATACACACACGTGCATTATTAGTTGCCGAATATAAAACGTTCATTATTTAGTTTATTTATTTAAACACCTTATATGTATGCAGTATAGAAAATTAACTGCACAAATCGTATTAAATACTCGAATAATGCATTTTTAAGAACAGCAGTTCCCAGCATCACCTTTTGCAAGCATTCTTTTTAGAGTACTTCCATATTTTGCTTTAAAATAATTAATAAACAAAATCGTGGGCACTTAGTATGCACTTTGTCACAATCCACAACACAAAATGAACGTATTTATACACTCTGTAGCTCTAAAAACTTTAAAGACACCTTTTTGCACATTTAAAATTGACAAAATAATTAACTCAAAATTTCTCAGCTGTTATTTTTATAAGTTTACCATAGGCAACTAATAATACACACTATCATGAGGCCACGAAGGCTTTGACAAGGGACAAGGGCTACAATGACGTCACAACTGTCAGCTGAAGCGCGGGAAGAGGCGAACGTACGTCTTATGAGGATGAGCAATCCTATTAGCACAAAACACATACACAAGGAGAAGTGCGAGCACCTTGCTAAATATTGGAAAGTGAAATTGACGTTTAAATTTGACACTGTTGACAAGTCTACTGCTACTAGCGCCCCCAATATCGCTTGTAGGAACTGCGGACTAGATTGTAACGCATGGCGGGAAGTTTAAAAAAATAAAAAATTTTAATTCATTTATTTTTAATTATGACATACATAAAAACACAAAAAATACACCATTTTTTAAAAATATGTTTAATATCATTATCAAATATACAACAGAAATTAATTTCAACAAAATAAATTAATAAAATTAAAAGAATAATGTTACAAGTAGATCAAGAGACAAAATTAATTATAACAAAACTGAAAAAAATGGCGTCATAGATGGCTTAGAAATGAAGCCATCTATGAATTATATAGGAAATGTCATCGATCATCATTTTTAAGCCAGCTGGACGATTATTTCAAACATACAAGCTGAGTTCGTTCATAGTGCTCTTAGAAATCTAGATAAACAAAGAATAATAAATTAAAAGTATTCCAGGGGAAAAGAGAGGAAGAACCTGTATCGTCTCTGATATCTGTCAGGGTATTGTCAAAAGTGTCATCTTTTTGCTCGAAGTTTTCAGGTCGATTAAAAAGATGACATTTACAACAATACTTTGCCGTAACTTTCACAAATATCAGATAAAGAGAGTACAGGTATTGCCTCTCTTTTCCTCTGGGATGCTTTATATCTGTTGTTCTTTGTTTATCTATATTTCTCAGAGCATAATGCCGAACACGACTACGACTACAGTATATAATAATTTCAATATCCTAAGTGGAAAGAAAAAAGATCACCCTTCTGTTTTGTACTATGGTCCCTTTCTTCCGATGGCTCATCTCGTTGATATTTAGGAAAGTATCCATAAAATATATATTTTATTATCGGTCCTGGGATGAAAAAATATAAAATTCAATTTGATTTGATGATCCTTTTCTGTCACCTAAATCAGGAGAATGACAATGAGCATGTTAAGATGAAAAAACTTATTTATCAACACTTACCTACACGTTAGTCCAAGGAGTTTTATCAAAAACCTATATTTGCCTAAATAATTTATGTATTCAATTTACAAAGCAAACTGCAGCGTGTAAACAAAAGAAATAAAATGGCGACAAGTCAACGTCAACGACCCGACAAGGAGAAAAGTGGTGTTCGAATAACACATTATGGGTTACAAAAAATTGTTTTTGTCTCCTTTCAACGCACACTTTAGAAAGAAAAAGAGTTGAACAGTTATACTGAAAGAATGTCAAGGTTTTATCTGTCACTCTTGTCAATAATTTATCGGTAAGGAAGATTCCTAGAAAATCGCTTGTAGTCAAGTTTTCAACCATTTCCAGTTCTCCCATAAGAAGTGTCATCCACCTGTTACCACTATGGAGTCTAAAAGGAGGAGGCGAATCGAACGCAAAAATTATGGGCCCAGTTTTTGAGATCTAAATGAAGTTCGAAAATCGCCGTTAGGGGCGCTTGTGATGATTGGGATACTAGTAAATTAACTATAAATTTTATTAAAAACACAATTAAATCGTATACTAACAATGAAAATGTAGTATCCCAGTCGATCGCAGTGCCTCTGCTGTCAAACCGAGGAAGCTGCTTAAAAGTGGGGACAGAAATTTCAAATTTGCCCATTGCCGATAAATCTCCTTTTTTAAGCCCTCCATATACATCACTACTGTAAGACCACAGAACAAAAAACAAATAGAATGTTGCCAGTTTTAGTCGATTTTAATTAGTACCAGAGTTGTTAAAGTACACGTAGTAATTAATAAACTACATTTACTACATGTCACAAGTATTTTTTTAAATGTCGAGTAGTAAATGTGTAGTTTATGTAACTAATGTAGTTTTTTTAAATAACAGTGAAAACGTAACCTAAAAACTTTGTTTGTTGATCAATTTAAAGAAATAAAAAATCTATATTTTGTGAATTTGTTCCTTATTATGTGATATTTTTGATACTTAGTTAAAAATGGTTGGAAGACGTTGATGTCTCCATACCTTACTCCATATCTTCTGGGAAGAAAGGAATTATGCAGTTGTGCCTTTAGATGTAAAAATTCTTCTGGAGAATGTCTATGGAGAATTTCTCCATAAGAATTTATAGTTTATTTTGTGTTCAATGTTACTTTTTATTTCATAGAAAATACACTTTTGTTGAAAAAAAATTGTCTTTTTTTCTGATGTTGTTTAACTTATACAAATATAATATAACTTCATACTTCCATGATAAGAATTTGGCTTGATTTTTGTTTAAACTCTGAATTGTTTATGTTTTACTATATTTTTGTAGGTAGTTTTTGAAGGTAGTTTTTAAAATTTTAAAACGTAGTTAATACAAAAAACTACGCGTAGTTTTTGGCGTAGTTTTTTGCTTCATAAACTACTTAACAACCCTGATTAGTACCAGTTGAAACCAGTAGTACATTTTTCTTGTAAATGAACAAACCCTGAAATAAAAATGGCAAGTGGCAAGTAGGCAACATTGCTTTTTTTTATTTACATTATTTAGAAAAGATCTGTGAAGCACTGGGTTTGCGCTGGAGATTTTCAATTAAAATACCTATAATTAAAAATTATCAAAGTGTTATAATTTTGTAGGTATTATCTTTATCTTTGAACAGTCTGTTATCATGTGCAGATAACATATTTTTGGTCCAGTATAGTTTGCTTTATTCAATTAAAATTGATACTAATCATAACTTTTTAGGATAACCTGGACAATATATTAAAATATGGAAATTCCTAATTCAGGTGAACAGTATAATCTGAAATGGAATAATCATTTGGCCAATTTTATTCAAACTTTTATAGAACATCAGAATGGAGAATCCCTTGTTGATGTTACCTTATCTTGTGAAGGACAGTACATTAAAGCACATAAATTGATTTTATCTGCGTGTAGTGACTATTTTCATAGTATTTTTAAGGTAAGTAAAGTAACGGTATAATGCATGTAACTTACATGTACTTAGATTTTTAGAAATATTCAATTTGCATCAAATAATTTAGGTTGGCTTTAGGTAATATATTATTAGATTAGCAGTATCAATAATAGTCATACTGTTGTATGTTAAGTATATTATTATAATCAAGTAATAAAAATAATCTTTTGCGGGAATTTGTATTCTTCCTGCTTTATAATAATTGTAAGTAATCTGAAAATAGCTACTTAACCATTTTTTTATTTATTTTAGATTCATAATGTCCCACATCCTTTTATATTTTTAAATGGTGTACGATTTGTGGACCTTAAATGTATTTTACATTTTATGTATCATGGAGAAGTTAAAGTCATTGATAAAGATTTACCAACTGTCTTGGCTTTAGGGGAAACACTTCAAATTAAAGGTAGGTATATTAAAGAAAAGCGATCATTTTATATGCCACATTTTAGCTCTCGTTTGCTCTAGTTTCTATTATTGGTTTTCCATAAACGTCTGTCTATACCCATGAATATATGACTAATTGATTATATAAGTTTTTATTTTATTTAAGAACTTGCATATAAATGAGGGCGTCCAGGGACGGTCAGCGGCCGAGTGGCTATGTAGATTTCCCTGAACGGTCTATTTTTAAATACAACGACCACCTGCTAAGGAAAATGCTCACTGGTCAGTCAGCTGCTGTGTATCCTGAACGCTCACAATATTTTCATATTTAAATATTTGTTTATATTTAATAGGACTTTCGTCAGTAAAATTAAGAGATGTACCACCAGATAATGTTCAACCTGTTCCGCTCATGCAACAGAAGCTACCAAAGAAAATTCCAAGACATACAAAAAGCAATAACGCATCTAACTCCCATTTTTTACTACTGCAACCTAATGAAGTTCCTTATCAAATCCCAAATTTTAGTAAGAAATCCATTTATATTAATAATCCAGGTGAATCAACAGACAATAATTATACTAAAATAAAAAGGAAAAAATCCTGTTTATCAAATGGCCAATCCAAACGAAATATAATGCCTAATGGGGATTATATATCTAAATCTGATAATAAAAGTGAAGTAGCATCTGAGGTAAAATGTAAATCTTCATATTATAAGAAATTTTAATTTTTATAATTTCTGTTTGCATTTTAAAGGGTCCACCACTGTCAAATAAATCAGGGAGTGATTCAGAATCTGCTAATAAAATTGAAACTAACAGTTCACATTCAGAACCACTACCACCATTTATGATTTTTACAAACGAATGGAAGAAAAAATTGACCTTAGAACATCCAGGTAAGATAAGCATGAGGTTTTAGTAATGAAAAGTAAGCTGTTTTGTTTTTATATTTATTTTTTTATCTTAATTAAACAAATACAGTTCATATGAAATAAACTTTTAGTCATGTGATTAAGCTTGACTGACACAGTGTTGCTCACTTTTATATATTTTTCTTTAATCAGAATATTTTAGGAAACAAAAATTAATTATAAATATATAAACAGTTATTATTTACATCAACAAAACTCACCTTCTTAACAGCACTTACAAAAATATAAATGGTCATTACTACCGCTTTCCTGATCAAAATATTTCAAAATAAAGTTGCAATGAGTTTTTTACGGCTATTAAGCTATCTGTACCTGTACACTTCGCACTAAAAGAGTTTCTAAAAAAACAATGTTCGACTGCAAGGTGTGTTAGTAAACATTTTCAAGCTTAAATTATCACAACACTATTTATTTAAACCACAAACTCTTAATATAAAACTAAAGTGTCAAAACGAATGACAATGTTAGGAAATAAATAAATAAATGCGGCAACTTGACATTTTTTACAGCAGAGCTACCATCTGATAGAGATCGCAAACTGCGATTCAATCGCAGCAATTTTCAAATCGCAATCGCAACTTGCGATTGGCTCTCATAGGACACTGCGATTGCGATTTCTCCTATTTGCTATTTTCAATTTAGGCAATCAGTATTACTATATCTGCGATTTGCGACTTTGTTGCGATATGCGATTTTGAAATCGCAATCGCAACTTGCGATTGGTTCTCATAGGACACTGCGATTGCGATTTCTCCTATTTGCTAGTTTTAATTTAGGCAATCAGTATTACTATAGCTGCGATTTGCGACTTTGTTGCGATATGCGATTTTGAAATCGCAATCGCAACTTGCGATTGGCTCTCATAGGACACTGCGATTGCGATTTCTCCTATTTGCTAGTTTCAATTTAGGCAATCAGTATTACTATATCTGCGATTTGCGACTTTGTTGCGATTTCCGATTTTGCTGCGATTGTGATTTTGTAAACTGGGGCCGTGATTTCTATCTGCGAGTTTGAATTTTTGGCAGTTGCGATTTGCGATATTGATGCGAACGTAATTTTGTGGTCTATTGAAGCATTTTATAATAAATCGCGATTGAATATTCTCTCTGATATTATTTACTTATAGAGAAGGTATTATTTTTTCCGGGCCACGATTATAATATACCAGGCGCTTCTCAAGAGTAGTTCACCTCTATAACTTTTTTATGTTTTCTTATAAAAAAACGAAATTTGGCATGTTAGTATATGACATAAATTAGGATTGATTGACATATTTAATTGTTTTCAGTCACTACCTGTTTCACCGGAAATGACTACAATTTATGATTTTTAAATGACACTCTGAATAGAATGGCATTACATATGGCAACTTTAGACATTTTCGCTTAAAAACATCGTATTTTAAATTTCAATCTAGAATGTCATGGCTGTGTTAAAAACACTAATTTTAATCAAGATGCCTTGGAAAATAGATTTGATTGTCTATTATTCTGTCAGTTATTCTGTCCCGGCCAGTTAAAAGTAGTAGTGGAAACTATTGAATGAATACTGTCGAAACATTCGATAGTTGCAATTCATTCGAATAATTCGATAGCTAGTAAGAAAACATTATTCGTCGAAAACTATTCAAATAAAAATTATCGAATAGACGCGTCATCTGCCTTGAAAAATTGTAATTTAGTAATTTGGCAGCAAAAACCATTCATTTATAAAATTCATTTATTCGTCAGGATCGATTATAATAAAATATAACCTGGATTTTGGTTGTCGCCCGGCGACGCGCGACGTAGGTTTCTTTCCTAGAAACCTGACAGCGGTCGATGACAATGGTATGAAAGAAGCCGGCATCTTTGATTTTTTGCGGAGTCAGATAAAGATAGATAAGGACACATTATTTTTTATTGAGATGCTAGTATTTACACAGAAAATACATTATGAAGGGCGCTATTGTCATATGTTGGTATTAGTTGGTATTAGCAAAGAATATTATTCTTTGATATTGGTTAGTTAGGGATAGTATGTCTATATATTTTGCATTTTTTTTATTAATATTCTGTTGTGACACTGCAATAATACTTTTTTATTTTGGATGTAGGAAAATCATTTAATATAAACATTTTTTTTAAGTAGTAGCAAAATATAAACAACAAATTAGAAGTCAAAATTATTTATATTAGATCCTATTTAAAAATAATATAGTCTAAAATTTTTGGCAACGTTGGTTTATTAAATAATAATAATTACAGAACTAATTTGTTATATTAACAGCAAATTTTAAAATCTTGAAATATAAACATTTATTAATTTTCTAAGCATGCAGTTACAAGGCGAAGTTATAAAAATTTGCAATAACTAATAATGCACTGACGCACACAAAAATCAAACGAATACTAAATTTCATTTATCAAAAGCATTCGATAGTCGTGGCTCAACGATAACCATTTAGTCGCACGGCGAGGTTGTCACATATGCTTTAGTATACAAATGAATGAATGATTTTATTCGAATAAAACCATTCGATAGTTGGAATCATTCATTCAGTAACCATTCTGATAGTCTAATTCATTCGATAGTTCCCATCGCTAGTTAAAAGATGCCCAAATCGTAATTTAATCATATCTCAATTTTTTCAAATGGAACGAGGGTATCTCATTAGCATATTTAGAAAAAGCATTTTTTACGAATTTGGTTTGGTAAATACTAAAATCGCAATCACAGGTTACAGTCGCTGCGATTTAAAAATCGCATTCGCAGTTTCAATTGCGATTGGAGAATAATAGTTTTGCTCATCTCTACCACCTGAATCCCCAGCGCGAAATTTAAATTCCAGTTAGTCAGCACGGCGCCGAATATGTAATTCCAATGTTGGCAACAATGAATTTAAAGATCGCGCCCTCGATTATGTAACTAAAAGTTTAAAGTCATAAGGTTAACGTTATACTGTGATTTTTCATGCATATATTTTTCATCACAAAAACATCTGTCTATTTGCAAAATAAAACACTAATTTAGAGAGATTCAGTGCAGAGATGACATCCATATGTCCAACGTTGGACACATACCACGTTCGGCCTCTTAGCGGTAAATTTTATCGCGTCAAAGGAGCTTCAATCGTTGGAAGCATCGTTCAGTACGCGCATACAGAGGTGCGATTTTCCGAAGGTTCGTTTTGTATATCGGCATATCTAAATCATTATATTTGAAATTAATTATCGAGTTAATCCTAAAATAATGATTTATCTAACAAGTTTATAGTGATGGGTTGTTATTTAACTATATATATATATATATATATATATATATATATATATATATATATATATATATATATATATATATATATATATATATATATATATATATATATATATATATATATATATATATATATATATATATATATATATATATATATATATATATATATATATATATATATATATATCCATCTATGTTTTCTGCGTCTTTTCGTAATTCTTACTTTTTGCGTCCCCTAGAGTATATATGAATATTTTATAAGAATTTTGCAGCACCACCTAGTATTATCTTAAAAATACACGAGATTTTTTTTATACATCTTTTTTCATTAATATCTAGCCAGTTTTATACTGCACCGACATCCTGCGTCTTTCCATAAGTATCACATTCGGCGTCCGATATACATTTTACAAAACACCATTTTTTGAGAGTCCTTATGTATAAAACATTGTTGCCAGTTCCAAAATTTATCGTTACATTTTAGTTAATTATTTATACTTTTATGAACGACCTTCTTGATACAAGGTCATATCTGTGGAGAAACTTTGAATGCTTTAAATATATTTGATTTTGGTTTAACTGCTTACTAATCGTTAGTGGATAGAATAGATGAAATGCTATTGCGAGAAGTTTTAGTTTTTATAGTTTACATGTTTAATGTTGAAACATTTATATTAATAATTTTACATTATTACTAAGTACGGTTTTAGAAATGCTCTTTTTATATAAAAACACTAAAATACCTAATGGATGTGTTTGCAGAAAAAAAAATTATACAGAATGTCCCCGGATCGTCTTTACAGGAGGAAAATATTTTTTTTTATTACTAACATTTTGAGAAAAATGAATTTTTATAAAAATTCTACCTTGTTATAAAATAGTTAATCCCGTTTATACTATTCCAAATTGCCAAAGCAATTTAGAGAAAAAATAAATATGAAAATATATGTCTCTATGGCAGTATCATTTCGTTTTCATTCTTTATTAGATGATTATCATTTTGATTAACGTCAAAGACATTATAAAGATAGACCGAACATCTCATTCATAAATACTCGTTGGTAGTGTATCAAACATTCCAATGTGTCAAACAAGGACAGAAGAGACAGAGAAGTCTAAAATTTCCGACCCCGGCAACTAGGCGCATTTCGATTGTTCTAATGGCCAGTGGCGTATCGTTTTTTGGAAAGCATTTAATTAGTAAAGTAAAAGTAAATAAATTAGTAAAATTTATACTCCATATTAATATACTACATTAACACTTTTTCGTCAGATGAGTTTTGTTATAAGGTCTAATATAATAATATAATTAATATTCCACATATACCTATGTTGAAACGTTAGTAGGTGGTTTTCGAAAATCGCTCCAACGTCGATTTTCAATTTAAACTTTCAGTTACTTCTATATAAACTTTCAGTTACTTTTGAATATTCACAGGGTGACTCAGGCTTCCGAAACAGTTCTATATTAGGTTTGTGGTTGGTGACTTTTCTTTCAATTTTTTTTCAGAATATGGAGGCAATGGTAAAGCACATTTTAGACATTTTTGTAAACATAGGTGGCCGGAACATATTTTCAAACTAAAGTTGTAGATTTGCCATTAAATTTCCATTCCAGAAATACCTAGGGTTGCCACCTGTCCTTTTTGAAAAGGACAGTCCTTTTTGGAATAACTTGTCCTTTTGATTTTTTCGACTTAAAA